AGATGATTGTACTGCATATCTATCGTTAGCTGAGTTTGCATATAACAACACCTTTTATATGTCGACTCAATAAACATCATTCTTTTTCAACTATAAGTATCATGTGAAGCTTGATTTGTTGAATCCTGCAGCTGAAGGATTTGTGAAACAACTATCGGAGCTTCAAACTATGTTGAAACTTCAATTACAAACCTCCCAAGAAGCTTATGAGGCGTCCATAGACAAATTTCAAAATCAAGCATCTACTTTCAAAATTGGAGATAAAGTATGGCTGCTTTGATGGAATATCAAAACCAAACGGCCATGTGATAAGTTGGACTATCGAAGATTAGGACCATTTGTCATCCAGAAGCAAATCAATCCAATGGCATACCATTTGGGATTATTGGCTGCTATGAAGGTACACCCAATCTTTTATGTTTCTTTGTTGGAGCCTTATCAAGAATTGTCTTTTCTTAGAAGAGTACAATGTCTGCCACCTAATGTTGAAATTGAGAACCACGAGGAATACGAGTTAGAAAAGGTACTAGATTCGTGGCGTAAGTAGGAAAAATTGGAGTACTTAGTGCATTGGAGATGCTATGATATCAATGAGCACACATTAGAACCAGCGAAAAATCTTATCAATGTGTCGCAAAAGGTATAAGAGTTTCATCAATGCTATCCTTAAAAACCTAAGCCCTTTTGATGAAATTTTTTTAATGAAGTTTCTTCTCCTTGAAGCCTCTTAATCCTTGGCCTTACAAAGAAGGGGGAGAAGGAACCTCTAAAAGACATAGTTAGAGACTATAAATCTATAACCTGAGCCCATTCTTCCATGTTTAGTGCTTGTATTTTTTGGTGTGATATGGATAGCCAAGACATAGATACCATATCAATTATGTCTTCTCAACCGAGTATCTCACGAAGACGACCTCGAGATAAAGAAGCGCATATACCATGAAGACGACGGAAGATACCTAGTAACAAGTCACTAGTGATTGTGTTTGAGCTAGAACCTGCCTACGATGATCTTTTTAAAGGAGTATTTACAGGGCATTTTCACAATGAAGATACGGAAGTTTATGCCTGGTCAGAAATTGAAGATGTAAGACACTATCATTGATTACAAGGACCAATGAACTACTTGCCACACGAACAATAATTGGAGTATATTGCAGACACTATGAGACAAATTTTCAACTTCTTATGTTGGTACTGACTCGTAATAAGAGTCCTTCTTGGAGACCTCGAAGCTAAAGGAGGGGTGATGTCAAAGACATACACTAAGAAGTTGTAGAAGATTCTAGAAGGTTCTAAAGAAGCTTTGTAGTTTGTGGAAGCTGCTTGAAAAGCTTCCTAGCTCGTGGAAGTTGCTTAAGAAGCTTCCTAATTTGTGGAAGCTACTTGAGAAGCTTCCTACCTTGTAGTATATATAGGAGCCGAGATTGAGAGGATCCTCAGTCTTGACAACACATCTTTTGGAGCTCTAGCTCACCTCTCTAGTGTTGTTTTTGTATTCATCTGATTAATCTAATTCTTGCCAATTCTTCTTGAACTTCTTGTTTAGAATTCCAGTTAGTATTCTAAATTCGTGACATCAATTCTTTTCTTACTTCTAGTCTACTTTCAAGAGTCTCAAGTTTTCTTGTCTTTTGGCAATAAGCCATTCCAATTTCTTTTCAATATATGTATTTCCTTATTTCTATTTTATCACTTTTTTTTTTACACAGATTTCATTGGTTTATGCATTTTCATTCAATTTATGTCCTTGACACATGTTGTCCACTTAATATCTTCAAAAAACATCCATTCATATTAAATTAAATCTTACAACCATACGATAAAAGTTTGCTTACTAAAAGAAGGTTCTTTTTTATCTTTGGCACATGTAAGACTTCCTTTATTGTGATCCTCTTTATTTGGTCCTTTACAATGATCTCCACCTTAATGGAGCCAATTCAATGGCTTGCACCATGCCATTATTTTTCAACAAAACATTTGTTCCTGAAATTTCTTCATAAGTATCAAATGAATACTTATATGATGTGATGTGCTTAATAGCATCCAAATCTATAATCCACTTGGATATGGCAGCCTTTGAGGTTCCTTTACTTCCCATTAAAGTATAATCATCTCCACCAAAACTATCACTAGCATTGTTTGTATTCTTCCTATCTCATTTCTCGGCTTTGTAATAATTCTTAATAAAAATGATCTAATTTTTTATAAATATAATAATTTTTTATGTTGATTTTTTAATTATCATATTGGTGAAAATAGCTACCTTTGCCTTTTCTTAAAAATAGAGCCAAATCATCACTTTAAAGCTTTTTTTTTCTTCTTCACTACTTCATAAATCAATTTTTAAGTGACATAGTCTATACTAAGCTCCTTCATGTTGATAAATTCTAATGCCACAATGAAGTAGTTGTAGGACTCAGGAATGCTCATAAGTAATGTCAACACAATGTCTTTATCATGAACTAGCTTTTCAACAACTGCTACTTGATTTGAAAGTATTTTTATCTTATTGACATGAATTATAAAGCCATCTCCTTCTTCCATCTTTATTATTAAGAACTTCTTCCTTGTCTATAGAATACTAACAAGGTTTCTACTCCCATAAATGTTATAAAGAATCTTCCATGCTTTTGTTAGTCCATTATAAGGAATTACATGTGCAAAGTTGATATCATCCAAATTTGATGCAATCATGCCAAAAGCCTTCTTTTCATAATATTTATACTCTTTCTTTACATTGACATCAACATTGTTGCTTGGAGGCTCTTTACTTTTATCAACAATATTTCAAAGGTTCAATGAAGTTAACAAAAGTTCTATTTTTTTCTTCCAATGGTAAAAAGTTTTACTTCTAAACTTTTCAATTACTCTTAAGCCTTCATCTTCTTTTGAAGCCATATCTTAATGAAGAGGTGTATCAAAGAAAATGAAGAAAAGAAAAGATAAAGCTTTTTAAATAATAAAAAAAAAAAGATCTAATTATATTAAAAATCCAAAATGTCTCTTTTGTGAATAAACTAGTGTCAAGGACAAGAACTCGATGAAAAAAGCAATTTAGACAAGTGAACCTTCACTCAAAGAAAGGTAACAAAATATAAATAACCAAGTATGTATATTGAAAGAGAGACTAGAATGGCTATTGCCAAAAGACAAGAAAATTAGAGACCCTTGAAACTAGACTACAAGCAAGAAAGGAGTTGTCAAGAGTGAAGAAGGCTTCACTCTTGTCTCTATATATACTATCTAATTAGAGGCTACGTGGCGGCATTCTATAAGACCTCCAATATGTGTTGACTTTGTAGGACACATGCCTTGACTTACAAGGCAAGTTTTTCTATGTGTGGGCGACATAATTAGCTTAATCTTCAAGCTAACAACATGTGTGGCACATGGCCAACTTGTTGACCACGTTTCTAATCCAAAAAGTCAATTAAAGACACCTATGAAGTCAAAGGAGCATCTATAAAGCTTTTAAGAAGCTTCCATATTAAATACTATAGAATTAACTTATTTTTACTTACTTTTACTTACTTCCACCTATTTATATATGTAATTACTAACTTACATGAGTATGTCCATGACAACTAGTGATTTCATTCTTTAATTACTCTCAATTCTCATAAGAACACTTTTAATCTCACAAATATCTTCTTATTACTATAAGAAATTCAACACACAAAAGTACAATACTTGTGCATCAATGATGTAACTCAGCAAAAAAATACAATATTAGTATTTTATAACATTATTCTAAGGTGATTGATACCTTCTAAGTTAATGAATGCTTTTAACAACAAGTAAGAGTAAAACTACATCAACAATTAGATGCAAAAGGGAATTTAGAAGATATCAAATCCTAACATGAGCAACAACCATATGATCTATTTTTTATAATAAGAAATACTTCAAAGAGCTTCAAAACTCACAACTAAAGGTAAATAGGTGCATAACCTATTGAAGAAAAAAGAACTTTGAAGTCACTAACACATAGCATCAGCAAGGTTATTCACAAAGAGAGTATGGAGTAAGATGTCTCTTACTTCTAATACCCATTACTTATAAGTGGTGCTTGCTGCCTTAATGGACAACTTCCATCCTTTGATGAATACAGCTATCCAACATTCTATTAAGACTATCCACAGCTATCTTATCTACTATAAAAATATACTTTTAGCATATTTTTTATATCCTTAAGATCCTTTGTCCTTTCATCTATCTTATCTCTTGATCTTATTATATACCAAGAACCAATCTTTTGTTAATAGCAACTTATCTAAAATAATATCTTCTACAATGTAACTTATTTTATTTTTATTTTTATTTTTATTTACTTACTTTAATAAAATTTATTATTTAATATTTTATAAGTACGGTGTTATTACTAATATTAAAATTTATATTTATAATATATATATATATATTATAAATACTTTCAAATTATATTATAAATATATATTAACAATTACAACTCTTTATTCTTTAAAAATATTTAAGAAACATTCATTAGATGCATAATTATTTTTTATTTTAATATTTTATTTGATTTAATTGTCCTTATCTACAATTGTGGTTGAAAAATAATAAAGACCACAACTTTCAAATTGTTTGATAGGATATTATAAAAAAAAAAAACCATTCAAAGGAATTTAAAATTGTAAGCTCTCACCTTATTCCATAAGTATAAGACAATCAGTCACAAGCACAAAAGCCACTCTATGGAGCAACAATAGAACAAGAAACAAGGTGCAATTGGAAGAATCATGAGTTAATTACGGGTTAAGGTATGATAGTCACGATTAACTAGATTATGGCCTAATTAAACTTCGATTAGGGCCATATGCTTCCGAGTGAGATCGCAATCTTCCAAGCTCGAATTTTCACGATGATTTTTACGAGTAAGTGAGAGCTCGGAGCTGGAGCCGAAGCAGGACTCTGAAGTGGAGGAACACGGACTCAGCAATGGCTGCGAATTTCTGGGCGTCTTCGCACTGGTGCGAATCAGCTCTTCCATCGCTTTGAATTGCCCTTTCGGGAGTGTTTTTGTGATGTTTGAATGAGTTGGGGGAGGATTGAATTGCGCAATAATTTTACATGGATTACGCTGAGGGTGTAGGTTTTCGTGGATGTGATAGGAAGTTTGTTTGTGTGAGGAGGGTTTGGTGAATGAGCCTTTGGGTGGAGATTCTGAGTGGAATGGTTTTTTGCCTCAATGGGTGAAATCTTATCTTCGAAGTACCTCGTGGGGTACCCCTGTGCGTGCAGCAAGAAGCTACTGGACCAAGAGGAAGTTAGTCAAGTCGCACAGATTGATGCGGAGCGGGGTCTTACACCCGAGGATGTGAAACTGATGAAGATACAATTTTCGTCTTGTATGTACTGAAATTATAGGTCTTACTACACCTTTGTGTAGGGCAGTTTCAGTGCAAGGGCGTGCATTTCTGCTAACTCTACAGTAGCAATTCCGACATTGTTCGATCACGGTCCCTGTTATAATGGGTCTTTTGAACTATTGGAAAACGTGCTGTTTTGATGCGATCATTCTGCTCATTTGGGACACGCACACACACGCATCAATATATATATATAGATATATATATATATATTATTTTTGTTTTGTTCTTTTTGCCTCTCGTATTTTCGCTGTCCAGGTGCACTTCGTCCTTTATAGTCATTTTTGTCTTGCAGATATCAAAACGATAGGGGGACATGCTAAAGTTCGTCAACGGTGAGTTCAATTCTCCTCAACTTGGCTGAAATACGAGTTGTATATGTATATACGATGGTCAGATATGTACCTAGTGGACATGATGATTCTGTTGATTTGATTTTGCTTCTATAAGGCCCTGATTTACTGAGCAGCTAATCTTGTTGAATTACTCCTGACAGGCACTGATTATTTCGAAATGCAGGGTTGTTGCAACTGCCATCGCGTATTTTAGGAGAATTTATACCAGGTATGTTCTTCATCTGCTCAACTATTTTATGTTGTTTGCTACCATATTCGCCATGTTTGTCGAACGAAGATCTAGAGTAAAGACCTTGCAACAGAACATAAAGCTTTCCTAACTCGTCGTTGTCTGGTCATGATGGATGATGACGGACTTGCTTTTGACGACTCTCAACCACCTGCTTCGCGGTCATCTCATTGAGCATCTTCGCACATCCTATGTCCTCCTTTAAGCTGGGCGTCCTGCCTTGTTTAGTTTCTTATTCTAAGTTTTAGTTATTCCAATTAATTTTCGTGGTGCCATTTTGTTAATAATCTGTATGGCTTCTTGTGCGCAGGAAAAGTTTCTCGGAATTTGATCCGCGGTTAGTTGCCCCGACATGTCTGTACCTGGCCTCCAAAGCAGAAGAAAGCACAGTGCAGGCTAAGATTCTTGTTTTCTACTCAAAGAAAATCCGAGGAACCTTCTCTTATCTCTACACTTGTAAGCCTGAAACTCTCAGCCACTGCGTTACAGTAAACGATGGGTATTTATTTTTCTCTGTTACAAAGTGGTGAACATGAGAAGCATCCTACACAGATTTTAGTCTACGCAGCCTAGAGAAGAGAATGTTTATACTCCTTTTCAGTGCCTTTTGGCAATGGTAGTTTGTTGTCCTAGACAGCTTGTAAATTGGTCGTGTCTGATATCTCGATTCCTTTCACTGTTCGGACTTTACCTCTTGTTCGTAGTAAGGTATTTGTGCTCTCAACTCTTGTGGGGAGTCTCACTAATTTCGTTTGTTTGTTTGAACAGCTCCAGAGGATAAAGCATATCGGTATGATGTTAAGGACATCCTTGAGATGGAGATGAGGCTACTGGAAGCATTGGATTACTACCTTGTCATCTATCACCCTTACCGTCCCCTCATCCAGTAAGTTTGCTTGCATGTCACGAACGGAGCCTTATGCAACATTACAGCAAGTACACCTTTTGCTCAAAAGGCTCCTATTGAATGTTGTCGTAGAAAGTTCTCGTATTAGTGATATTTGTGATAGAGTAGCTTCTCCAATTACAGGGTTTGGAGGAATTTAGTCAGCAGCCATTAATTTCCTTGATGATGAGTTTGTGTTTCCTCGTGCTTGAATTATCGCCGCAATTCTTCACTGGTGCTAACGGTTTGTACATGTTCGGGTGCAGACTGCTGCAAGATTGCAACATGCCGACGGAAATGACTCCATTTACATGGTGAATTTTAATTTTCTTTTGAATCAAATTAATTTTTCATTGTATGTGTGTTTGTGAAGACTAATTTTAGCCATTCTTTTACGTATTCTCTGCTACACTAATGCGCTGTTTTTCTTTTCTTTTTTTTCTTTTTTCTTTTCTCCCTCTCTAATGTCCTCAGGATCTTCCTGGTTGTTATATTAGTGGCCAGTAAACCATTCCTAGGTTATTGTGATCTGTCCGTAATGAAGTTGGTGTGTATTGATGCATTGCAGGTCACTAGTTAACGATTCCTACAGAACTGACCTCATTCTCATGTACCCACCCTTCATGATTGCACTTGCATGCATCTACATCGCCAGTGTGCTCAACGAAAAGGACACAAGGTCATGGTTCGAAGAGCTACGTGTTGACATGAATGTGGTATGGTCAAATGTCTCCCGCAGCGTTTGTCAAGTTAGTGTTAGTGTGAACAGTATTTTGAGATTTAAGTGTGCCATTCTCTGGTCAGCTGGTGTGGATGTTCCTTTGGGGAACCTGATTTGTTTTTGTTGTTATCCGTGACTTCATTCCAGCTTTCTGGCTACATAATTTAGTTTGTGAAAGCTGCTTAGATGTTTAGTTGCCTCTTGTCACTTTAGAGGTTTGAAAAAAGTTTTCTATTGCAAAAGTGGCGGTTCTGATTGTTTTTAACTTGGTTTTGACCTGGCATTTTTAGATCAAAAATATTGCGATGGAAATCTTGGACTTTTACGATAACTACCGGGATATACCCGGTGAGCGAATCAATGCTGCTGTGAGCAAACTGCCACACCGACCGTAAGAATTCAGCTGCATAGCTTCGGCTTCAGAGTTACTAAATTCATGCTGCGTCCAATTGTAAATATAAACATTTTTGTCCTGAACGCCCAGGATGCGATCGTTGTGAACTGAAAGTTGTGGGCAGGTTGTTTCAAGATTCGTTTAATCAACAATAGTTCATGGTGGGAGTGGCAACTATCGCAATTCCAGCATCGCATTGCTTTTGTTGGCAGTCTTGCAATGTGCGTCGTATTTTGACGCTCGTGTCATTTCACCATTAGGTGTCTTTACGAAGAGCACATCTGGCTGCGAAGGGTATTCCTTGAAGGTAGGGTCAATTAAGGTGACTTAAAAGGGTAGTTGGGGAATTCACATCGAAGTATCTGTGACATGAATTTCTCCCTCATGAATATGTAAAGCATGTTCTGCAACCACTTCACCGTATAGCTGACAAAAGCTGAGGCTTTGATTGTTGTCTGATGCTTTGTAAGTTAATATTCTACAAGAGTATACTTTTGACAGCCAAACTTCATGGCATACCATGGCACAAGGCTATGTCTAAAAATTGCAGGGTAAGATTTCAATACATTGAACAAAAAAAATAAATTGTAGGAAATGATGCAGAACCATTGAGAGACATCGACATCAAAAGACATTGACAACAAATAAAAATAGAAAATTGTGTGAAAAATCGTTCCATTTTCCTCGTCAATGATTAGTTACATGCTGACAATTCCAAGAGTACACGGAACGCGTATCAAGTAGTTCTCAATCATGAATCACATTTTACACAGCTTCCAATTTTCTGAAATTAACTTTTTCTTGAAAAATACTTCAATTGTGAAATTTAGTAGAACACATACAGCAACTCGGAAGTATAATTAGAGGCACACATCTCATCTCAGTAAAATTCTAACACACATGCAACATTTCATGTGTGTATACAGATCACTACACACACACACACACACACACACACACATCTATATATATATATATATATATATATATTTGTATGTATATATACATAATTTTTCTTTTTGATTCATCAACATAACCCAAATTGGCAAAAAATTAAAGCAATAAGTTGGTGACAGACGCAAAAAGCAAGGAGCCACCACCTTTGCTGTAAAGCTCACTTCTAAAAGCGTTCGATTGAAAACATTATTTCATCCACATTCATTCAGTACTCCAGCGGCGATGGCGCCGTCGCCAAGAGGGTCCAGACCGACACCGCAAGTTCTCCTCCCCCTCCGAGGAGCATTGGTGCACCGCGGTTCCGCGCCCTCGCGCGATTTCAATCTCCTCTTCGGACGTCACTCGCCAATTCTCAGGTGACAATCCTGTTCTCTACATGCTGTTTGCGAGACTTTCTGTTTTCTTGCGCTCAATACTGGTGAAGTTGTGTGCTTCTGCACCTTGAGGACTTTCAGTGCATGCCAGCATCCCCACGTAGCTTGTATGCGGACAGGAAGAAGAAAATCCTACCATGTTAAACTCGTGCACGCGACAGAGCCGTAATTGACTTAGAGGGGATGATCTGGCGTGGTGGTCGTTAGGGTTTGGCTGGATCGGGGCGGTTTCGAGGGTTTAAGACGCTGGAGTAATTGGAAGAGGCAGTAGCAATGGCGGGCGAGAGGAAGAGGAAGTTGAGCCTGTTCGACGTTGTGGACGAGTCCGTCAATGGAACCGAGAAGATGAAAGCGAATGGCGGTCCCGTGCTGAACCCTCACACCGGCAGGCCGTACTCGGCGAAGTATTTCGAGATTTTGGAGAAGCGGCGCACGCTGCCGGTGTGGCAGCAGAAGGCGGAGTTTCTGAACATCCTGGCCAAGAACCAGACGATGATTCTGGTGGGAGAGACTGGTTCCGGAAAGACCACGCAGGTGCGGCACCGTCTCATGATGTCATGATGCACATCCGGTTTGTATGATGTATTCGAGATTAGGGCGTTCGTTGTTGGGGATTAGGGTATCGTGGGTGATATGGGCGCCCACATCCCGAGGAGGTGCAGGGGAACTGTGTGGTTTGTTGGCCACGCAGGTGACTGTGGTTGATGGGATTGGCGTTGCAAGAAACGCAGCGCTGAGAGTGACGAGGGATTGGAGTGGGAAGAGGTGGTCTGACGGGGTGAAACTGGTTGGTTGCAGATTCCCCAATTCGTGGTGGAAGCAGGGTATACGAGCAACAGGAAGCAAGTGGCTTGCACGCAGCCAAGAAGGGTGGCGGCCATGTCAGTGTCGCGGCGTGTTGCGGACGAGATGGACGTGACCATTGGAGATGAGGTCGGGTACAGCATTCGTTTCGAGGATTGCAGCGGGCCGAAGACGACGTTGAAGTACGCGTGATACCCCCCTTACAGAGCGGATTTGGCGTTTGGGACCAGGTTTTGTGTCGTGTAGGAAGAAGAGCTGGGGTAGCCCATTGCAATGCATCAGAAAGCGTGGCGGGCATGGGGTGTGTGGAGTGGGTGGAAGTGGATTAGGCAGGCAGTGAGGGAGGGGGGGTTGGAAGGTCCGCGAAGGTTTTGCATGTGGTGGAGGGGCGAGAGGGGTTGTCCGTAGGCGCGGTGGAATGGCGGAGTTGAGGTTGCTGACATTGGCGAGTGTGTGGGTGTGGGCAGGTATTTGACGGATGGTATGCTGTTGCGAGAGGCCATGACGGATCCTTTGCTGGAGCGGTACAGAGTGATCATCCTGGACGAAGCGCACGAGAGGACGTTGGCGACGGATGTGCTGTTCGGGCTGCTGAAGGAGGTGTTGAAGAACAGGCCGGACCTGAAGCTGGTGGTGATGAGTGCGACGTTGGAGGCAGAGAAGTTCCAGGCGTACTTCAACGGGGCGCCGCTGATGAAAGTGCCCGGGAGGCTGCACCCGGTGGAGATATTCTACACGCAGGAGCCGGAGAGGGACTACCTGGAGGCGGCGATTCGGACGGTGGTGCAGATTCACATCTGCGAGCCGGCGGGAGACATCCTGGTGTTTTTGACGGGGGAGGAGGAGATCGAGGATGCGTGCAAGAAGATAGGAAGGGAGGTGCAGAACCTGGGGGACCAGGTGGGGCCGGTGAAGGCGGTTCCGCTGTACTCGACGCTGCCGCCAGCGATGCAGCAGAAGATCTTCGATGCGGCACCGCCACCGGCAAAGGACGGGGGACCGCCGGGGAGGAAGATCGTGGTGTCGACAAACATCGCGGAGACGTCGCTGACGATCGACGGGATCGTGTACGTGATCGACCCGGGGTTCGCGAAGCAGAAGGTGTACAATCCTCGGATTCGAGTGGAGTCGCTGCTGGTTTCGCCGATCTCGAAGGCGAGCGCGCACCAGAGGGCGGGGCGTGCGGGTCGAACGCAGCCGGGGAAGTGCTTCAGGCTGTACACGGAGAAGAGTTTCCAGAACGACCTGCAGCCGCAGACGTATCCGGAGATTCTGCGGTCGAACCTGGCGAACGTGGTGCTGACGCTGAAGAAGTTGGGGATCGACGACCTGGTGCACTTCGACTTCATGGACCCTCCGGCACCGGAGACGCTGATGAGGGCGCTGGAGCTGCTGAACTATCTGGCAGCGCTGGACGACGACGGGAATCTGACGAAGCTGGGAGAGCTGATGAGCGAGTTTCCGCTTGACCCACAGATGTCGAAGATGCTGGTGGTGAGCCCAGAGTTCAACTGTTCGAACGAGATCCTGTCGATCACGGCGATGTTGTCAGGTGCGGAGGCGATCCTTGCAAGAGACGTATTGTGTTGGTTAGGCGTGATAGCATTGCAGAGCGTTGGTAGGAGGGTGGGATGTGGGGGGTAGATAGGGGGAACGGTCACAGGGATGTGGCATTGGGATGATGAAGGATGGGATGATTACAATGTTGTTTTTGTTGTTGATGACGATGATTGTAGCAGTAGGCTGCGGTTAGAGCTGTGATGTTGATAGTGTAAAGAAGTGGTGCAGAGTCACATCAGCGTGCATCATTATGCACGGCAGTTGGCCCTCTCTGCGTGTGCTGACCCTCCGTGGTGGTGCTTCCGTCACTTTTGTGAAATTATTTTTTGGCTCATGAATGATCTGGCAATGGCACGTAATTGGTTTAGTTCCCAATTGCTTTCTGCGACCAAGAGATGCTCAAAAGGCAGCAGACGAAGCGAAGGCTCGGTTTTCGCACATTGACGGGGACCACCTGACGCTTCTGAACGTGTACCATGCGTACAAGCAGAACGGTACGTTGTGGGTCTGGGGATTGGGGAGTTGTGTTTAGAGGGGTGGTTATGATGAGTGGTGTGTGTCGAGGCTGTGCGGAGGGCAGGGTGGAGTGTGAATCTGCATGCGAGGGTGCAGTGGTGAAGCATAGGAGATGTGTTGGTTGTGGCGGTGGGGATGGTTGGGACGTATGCGCTGGGGGTTGAGAGTGCGTGGGAGGGGAGACGGAAGCGTGGTAGTGGTGTGTTGTGGCAGTGGGTTGGTGGATGGCGAAGATGTGAAGGTGGGAGGTTAGTGTAGGATGTGGAGAGAGAGAGAGAGAGAGAGAGAGGGAGAGAGAGAGAGTTGTGTGGAGTGGTGGTGTGATGTTGAGGAGGAGGTGGATGAGATGTGAGCCACAAACGGAGTAAGGGTGGGAGTTCGCGGATGGAGGGAGAGTGTCGGGTGGGAAGGCTGAAATGGGTGGGCGGGTGTGTGGGCGGACGTGCAGGTGAGGACGCCACGTGGTGTTACGACAATTTCATCAACGTGCGTGCGATGAAGTCAGCTGACAACGTGCGGACGCAGCTGGTGCGCATCATGAATCGGTACAACCTGAAGATGTGCAGCACAGACTTCAACAGCCGGGATTATTATGTGAGCATTCGGAAAGCGATGCTTGCGGGGTACTTTATGCAGGTGGCTCATCTGGAGCGGACGGGTCACTACCTGACAGTGAAGGACAACCAGGTAAGAGACGAGGGGCTGGGTGGAGATGTTCCGTGGATGTTGTTGTGGAAGTAGTGCAGTCCCTACCGGGAACCGAGTGCGTTGTGGGGTGGCGTGAGTGAGTGAATGTGTGTGTGAAGCGGGGTCCTGTCATAGCGCGTCGGGGTTTGGTGTTGGGGCGAAGCATAGGGTAGGTGGGAATGGTGGGAAGACGTGTTGTGGGAGGTGGATGTGAGGGTTGTGGAGTGCTGCGTGGTTTTGGGATTGGGGAGGCATGATGAGGGGTTGAACGGAGGAACGTACTGACGTGATTGTTTGGGGCGTGCAGATGGTTCATCTGCATCCGTCGAGTTGTTTGGACCACAAGCCGGAGTGGGTGATATACAACGAGTTTGTGCTGACTACTCGGAACTTCATTCGAATAGTGACAGATGTGCGTGGGGAATGGTGAGTGTCGCGGCGGTGTTTGATGTGGGGTGGTGGCGATGTGGTTGGGATGTTGCAAAGGGGGTGTGATTGGTTCGTGGAAAGATGTGGATCGGTTTATAGGTAGTTGTGGCAGCGGAGTGTGAGGGTGATCAGCGGACGCGTGAGTGGGTTTGGGTGGGATTTGTGGAGCAGAGTATGTGGCATGAGGGTAGGGTATCGTGGGGCGGCAGAGAGCGCATGAGATGGCGAGTGTGGTTGGAGGTTTTGGGTTGGATGATGTTGGATTGGGTGTGTTCTGAGTAGGGTGATTGGGAACTTGTGTGGTGGGGTTGCAGGCTGATAGACGTTGCTCCGCATTACTACGATTTGAGCAACTTTCCGCAGTGCGAAGCTAGACGCGTGCTGGAAAGACTGTACATGAAGCGCGAGAGGGAGAAATCTGAGGCTAACGGTGGAAAGAGATAGTCGGGGCTTTCAGGATTGGTTCTCTGTGCTTTTGTGAAGTGTTGCCGATGTTGGCTTGATCGACAGCGTTTTGCACTCGTGTTCCAACCCGTTTTTTAGCATAGAACCTTAGACGGTGAGACTGAAGATGTTTCGCCTCAACAGGTCATTTTAGGAAATGTAAAATGGGCATTGGAAGGAAACTTGATATTATTTAGATTGCAGTGGCAAGTGATTCTTATTCGACAATGTATTCATGATTGTACCGAAGTTCTTTGACAGTTCCATTTGTTTGATGAAATGAGAAGTCGTTGAGACTATTCTTCGTGCAGATGCTTTTTTTTTTCTTACGATTCACAGCTGCACTTATCAATGTGGTTTTCGAATGAAATGTTGTTACCGGTGTGACGGTTGACCTTGGCCCTCATTCTTTTGTTAAGTTGGTTTGATTGTTTTGGTAGAGAATGATTCTGATGTTGGTGCGGAGGTTCTTTTGTTTTTCAATAACAAGATCACATCGTGTTACAAGGCTTCACAGTTTTAGGCATCTACTGCTGTGGGAGTGGACTGATCTGTTAAACCTAAGTTAGTGCACGCCCGCTTTGATTTGATTTGTTAAGTTCTTTTGTATTGACTTTGATGAATTTAAAAATTACACCTTTGACCTGACTGTCCTGAGCATTTGCTCCAGGGATATAGAAAAGTTTTTAATTGATGTAATGGCTGTTATGTGACTGGCATGGACTTCATGTTTTGTTTCAAGGTTGTATGCATTACCGAGTTACTCACGTGACTTTTGATCACCTTGTTAAATGTACATTGATTGACTCACACACTCACGCTCACACTCATTCGTTTGTTCCTTTGGTCATATGTGTATGTAACTACAGCTGTGTGATTTTGAGTGTGTGATATAGATGCCATTAACACTGTTTGCATTGGATGCAATTATTTGCAACTGAGCCTAATTTTAACTTGGGTTTGTTGTGTACTTCTTCGGGGATCTTTATATTAGGGGAGAATGTGACTATTAAATCCTTTGATTGGCTGAAATCTATAGTTTCTTATTTTTACCCAATCAATGGATTTACAACTTGCAGCTTGTCACCTTGTCTCTCAAGTATGATGACCCCTTAGCTACAAGTAAATTGAAATGTTTAATACCCAACAATTTATCACAATTTCAAAACATTCTGTCGTTAGAGGATGTCTTGAAATATGTGCAAATGTTTTTAAGAATCATATTTAAGTGAAGCAAAATTATTTATCAAAACAAAGTTATAATAATGTGTTTTAAAACATAAAATACTCATGTGATAAATATTGGTTTTTAGATTATATAGAGAAAGTTCATAATCAAGGAATAGTTCCATGTTCATATGCAGTGCCATATAATTTCACCATTAGGTGATATTGTACTAATTCTTCATTAAAATACCAAACATATCAATGATATATTGTTGATGTATACGTTAGTCCTTTGTATGTCCAAATACTATTATCATTTCTTCTCCTCACGAACTTACCAAATTTGAAAAACTAGCAATGTTTGTAAGAAATCTATTTGTTTGAGTATTTGTTTTGTAAACAAAAATAGAGTCAATATTCATTCTAAACTTGAATGAATCTCTTCATCTCAAAAGTAATAGAGGATGAAAATCATCCACGAATGGGCAATCCATATGGATGTAATGCATCCGAAAGGAAATCAGAAACGACTCCAGTCCAACCCCAACTCACGTCAACCTCAAAAAAGCTCACGATTGGGTCCTATTCACACCGCTGCAGCAGGAGGAAGAGGAAGAGTGAAGAAACGCCGGTGACGTGCCATCACGAATAGCGGCGCCGATATCCCCCCGGGCGCGTTACTAACCCGGGCCGGAACGGGAAGCCACGCTGGCAGTGCGATTCAAATCCCGTGGCGATGCAACCACGATTCAAACCGTTGCGGAAACGGGAAGGACGCAGCCCAATACCGCCCAGCCAGCTCAGCATCGGCGCCCTCTAAGGGGGTGTCGGGATTGGGCTATTACAGTAACGGAATCAATCAATTATTCATTCATTCCAACTCGCTCACTCACACACCCCCCCTTTTCCTTCTTAATAGCCTCACTGCTAGAGACGCTGCCGCTGCCGCGCGGCTCTCTTATGCGGCGGGTCCCATGCCCGTGTTTGTGTGTCAGAGGGGGTCCGCTTGCCCTAGAGATCCAATCCCCCCGCGCCATCGCACTCCCCCCATGAGAAGCGCAATTGTTTTTTTTCTCTTTGCTAGCGGGCGGCTGTACTGTGGAGTGTAGCGTAAGCGGGATAGGTAGTGCTCGCTTTGCTAAGAATTATTATTACTATGACAGATTGGCGGAATCTGATACTGCATGAGTAGGCGTGCCCCTTTTTAATTTTATTTATTTATTTATTTATTTTATATATGCTGGCTAGGAGAGGCTGAGCACGATAAGTTTTGCAGATTGTCTGCCGGTTTCCTTGAGTGCGAGTTTTTTATCGATGGTTGTCGCATGCCTTAGGAGGAGTCTGGTGGAGAGTCGGTATTGAACACCTTGTGTGGCTCCAGGTCGTTGACTGAGCTTGCGGGTTTTCGAAGCGATGCATGAGTGTTTTGCCCGAGGCTCGAGTGGTTGCGGTGGTTGATCTTTCTATGTTTGATGTGGCATGTAGTTGACGGTATCTACATCCTCTACTTCAGCGTCTGGACGCTTTAGTGCGACGTTTCGAAGCTTCTTGGATTTGCGTGCGTGCCGGGGAACGCCTTCTTCCGTTGCAGGTTACATATCTTTGTGAGATCGTTATGAGATGAGCGTGGGACATCCTGTGGTGGAGTGTGAGTAAGAATTGTGAGGAGCGGCGATCATTGTTGCGAAGAGCTTCTCCCTGACATCTTACTCCTATTCTACTTGATAACGAGTGTCGTAGTTGTTTAATTGCCTGTCGTACTTCAGATTTGATCTTCCTTAGATTGCACTCCTTGCGGCATATCGGGTGAGTAGGGTGGCGGACAACCTCGATTATGCTTTTGGGAGGCTCGTTCCGTATCCAGTCCCTGTAGTTTGGCTTTCATGCCTTCATAGTTGACTTTTTCTTCGATCGTCACTGGTCGTCGACGATTAAATCTGCAAATTTCGACCTCCGGGGTACACACTTCTCTTGTGAATTTTGACCATCGACTAGTTTTTTTCGCCTCCTAGCGCTCAGCATCTGATTCAGAGCCTGTGAGGGTGGCCATGGCTCCCCAAGTGCTCTCGGACTTGACTGCCCTAATAATGGCGCACCCTGTTATCTTTGGTCTCAGTCTAGTTCTCTTCACGCCACCATTTTATCCTGTCTTGAAGTTCTTCTTGCCTCTGTTGATCTCTACCGCGCTTTTTATTCTGATGCTCTTTACCATGGGGCCGAAAGGTGCTACTGGAAACCAGGCCGGAGGGTTAGAGTCGGAGGAGAAACATGTTGCACACGGAGGCGATGCCGATGTTTCGAAGCGAACGAAATCCGAGGGGAGCTGGACCGATTGGGTTAAGAGGATTGAAGAATCTAGTATGTCGTGGATGTCCCCGAGGTACAAGAGTAATCAATGGAAAGGGAATCTCTTGAATGACGACAATGTTTCTATCTTGGGAGAAACATCCTGGGTTAATCGCGGTGATTTTAATCCTTATGAGCAGGAAGCCGCGTCCACCGAGGAGGTGCAAAGCTCATCCTCGCGCTTGATTGATGAGAACATAAACAACAGATTTGTGCCGACGCTGATGGCTCCTTCCGAGCTTTTTAAAGTTGATTCTGATCTGCAGCGAGCTGTAGATGAAGTTTACGACGACCTCGGTGAAGATGCTCCAGAGTTAGAAGATGTCGAAGAATCTGAGACGATATCATCTCCAGCTCCTCGCTCTTCCCATGATCCAGAGAATGATAATGGGTCTTCGCCAAAATCTGGCAGTCATGGGATTGCGCATAGGCCTCTGGAAAATCTCTCGATCCCTAAGAGAGTGAAATCGAATAGCTCGGAAGTGCCTAGTCCTTCGACGGATGTGGATGGGTCACCCGGCCTAGATAAGAGCAAGAAGTCCACGTTCGCGAACGTGAGGAAGAACTCGATTAATGCGAGGTCCGACTTATCTCGTACTTCCGAAAATTCAGACGCCGATACCCCTGTAGCGGAAAGTGTAACGTTGTCCGGAAAATTTGATCACTTGGAGAGTCTGGGAGATCTCATGGCGGATTCAGCGGAGGCTGAGAAGAACGGCGATGAGTCGCCCGAGTTGGCAGCCTTGAAACCTACAACTCATGAGCAAGTTCAAGACCTGAAGGAACAGCTTGAAAGCTTCATTCAGGACGACAAGAATGAGCCACCTTCATCCAAGCCTGATCATGGCGCTGATAAAGGTTTATCGACGTCTGAAGATGATCGTGTGTCGAAGCCCGAGTCCTCTCTCCTCGAACAGGACGATGGTAAGAGCTTCTCCTCTTCGTCTCCTTCGAAGAAGGAATCATCCAACTTAGTCAATGGTACCGATAGTGAGATCTCACCTCCCACTGACACTGCGAAGATAGAACTTCATCCTCCTGTGAAGCACGAAAAGGCGTCGTCTGAGGAGGGGTTTTCGGACTCTCAATAAGAGTTCCAATTGTTGAATGCAAGTATCTTTCATTCTCGTATCATGTCCGTGGAATGACGGACAGAGTTAAAACTACTAAGTTCTTATAACTGCGCTTAGTATAAGCTGTACATTATCTTCCTTTGTCTATTTTACTTTTTCGTGCTAGACATTATTTTCCGTCTTCGACTGAGGAGACCTGCAGAGTTTAAATATTGCGGCTTTTAGCTTGAACAGGAGGCGCTGTGAGACCTTACCCTACCTTGATGGTAGAGCTTTTTCCAAATTGTAACTCGTGCAGTCTAGATCAGGACTGCTTTGATATAATGCCAATATAAAGTTGGATTGTGAAATTTTGTGAATCCATCTGGGCCTGACTGCTCGATTTATTACAAGCTCATTTTTGGGAGGGGGGGAGAGATGCCGGATTCTTTTAATGAAAGTTTCATGTGTACAAGTCGGTTCCTTTGTTTTTGGGAATCAACTTACATGGCGATGGAAATACTCCGTGTGTACTCTTGTTTTTTCATTTAATTCGGTTCCTGTAATTAGTTGCGAATCACATCTATATCTCCGGCCAGGATGTATGACTGCATTGTGCATATTCAACTGGCGGCTTCTTCATGAGTACAAGTCTTTCGAATTCAGAAGAAGGAACACTTTCACTTCATACCATGTATTGTAAGGGTCGAAAGGTACCGACCCTTGCACTCGCTTGAGGTGAGTATGAGCTAAGGATCCCCCGATGCGCAGGGAGAATCCGCACCGCGGCGGCCAAGGAGCGGTTGGGAGGGCCACCTTCCTCATTCCGAGGTAAACCTGGCGCGAGGGCGCGAGGCGGGCTGCGGGTGTGCATCTGCGTCTCATATGCTTAGACTTCTTGGGCAGAGTTAGTTTAAGTTGGTAGGAGTCAGTCCGGGGAAACGTGTGTCGTCTCCCGGGATGACCCCTTGAGTTACGACCAGGGCAGTGTCCCGGCACCGTGCAAAGGCACGGGCCCGGGGTGACGGCGCGTCCAATCGGAAGGACGGGGCGCGGCGCCACAAATAGTCGTGGCGCGTCACGGGTCGCGACGCGATACACAGAGAGTCGCAGCGCACCCCGAGGTCGTAACGCGACACAGAGTCGCTGCCCGATGTGAGCCCAGACCCTGGAGGACTCGAGGGTTCTGAACGAGGCTGGTTCGGGTTATTTCCGCATTGTTTCTAAGTAGTAACATTGCTTTTGTGGGACTTTCAGGTGATTGAGAGACCAAGTTAAAAAGGCAACGTTACATGTATGTGATCGAGCAGCACACTCTTCAATCGACATTTGAATATATGGCGCTACGGAGCTTCTGAGGCAACCGAATGAAATGACTGCTTCCTCAAGGTCATTGCCAGCCTCATTCGACCCTGCCATATTCTTATCCCGCATCTGACAAAACTGTTGGACTTTTCGTCAGTACAGCTACAACTTACTTCAATTTCATTTGGTGCACACATTTGCGTTGCTGCTGCTCTCTACTTCACTCTTTTAGAAACCTTTAATGACTACTTGTCTCTGCAGGATTAGACTAAAAGATTTAAAATAACTCTTGTAGTCTTTTTAAAGAATCAAGGATTTTTGGAGCTTGATTAGTATTTCAGTATTTGCAGGAGAGAAAAAAGATGTTCTTCATCCTGTTACAGAAATTGTTGAAGAATAATCCTCTCTTCTTCTACTTTTAAAGTGTTTTAAATTTATTACAAAAAAAACTTAACAGTAGTACTTCTGAAAGCACATTTTATTCAGTTAAAGAGTTATATGAAATTTTGCAGCAATATATTATTGTGGAGACTCATGAGGAAATTCTCAAGTATTGTGCATTACGGCTCAACTTACCTTGCAAGTGGTCTTACATCATTTTAAGTTTACTATGCACATGTACAAAAGTATTTTTTTATTTTTTTATTTTTATTTTTTTATTGCGTCTTTTTCATTTATTGTAAATTAGTTATCAATTGACACACATACATATGTGTGCACACATTAATGGTTGATACAAAACTATAAACATACAACATACTTTTTTTGGATCTGCAATCATTCAATTCACCATTTGGCACGTACAATTGAATTTCTGAGGTTCCAGCAGAATTATGATTTTGGGTTATTAGGTTCACTCAAGTTATGATGGTTGGCCATATTGTTGAAAAAATTCAACATTCTAAAACCAAACTTTCATATTTACAACGGCACTTTTACAATTACATAGGGGTTGGTATTTCGCTTCAACTTTGAAACAGTTTCATTGAAGGCTGAATGTAATTAAAAGTGACTAATATTCCCAAATTACATTGATATTGATATAAATGTGCATCGTGTGTATAATGTCCATCTAATCCGTTTCATGTTTTCATTAAATGGTCAAAATAAATATAAAAAACTTGGAACGTTTTTTGAGCCTCTGTTTGCACAAATCCCAAAGATAGTCTTTTATGTCTACCTCCGTTTCAACTAATTCTCTTCAACAAGATTTAAATCTTAGTGCTCAGATCAAAATTTTACATGTTCTTATCTTTCTTTCTTTCTTTCTTTTTTGTATGCAAAATCTGTGCATTGCCTTGTAAGCCGCATCACACTAATGACTTCACTCTGGACGTGCAGGGATGGCTTTAGCGATGTCCAGGTTTACAAGCCTGCATGTGCCAAGCAGATATTCTGGAAGCTCTTCTTCAGTGTTCGCCTACATAGACACAAACAAACCCATACGGGTCGAACTCAAACCTTCTCTAGTAGTGCTTCTCATGCAAAGTTGCAAGTATGATTATAGCAACAAAAACCAGCGAAATTCCAAATGCAGTGCGATGAACATACCTGAATGAGGAAAGCCAGCTCAATAACGAGTGTGCTCAAGTAACCCAACACTAAGTTCACTACACCCTTGGCTACCGAGGATGAGCCGATGTCCACATCCAGCTGTATAGAATGAACACAGCACACAACAGTCGTGAGGTACAACTTGGAAAAGAATGTCTCCCCAAAATATGCTAGGAGGAGGTAAGAAAACGTTCTCAAAATTCTCGGTCTGACCTCAATGTAATTCTTGCCAGAGTGGTACGTGATCTCCAAAGCCTCTCCAATTAGACAAGCCGTCTTTCCAACACTTTGCTTCACAATCCACGAACCCTTCGCGATGTGCGGTATGAGCTTAAAGCCAGCATTGCGATATCGGTCATCCCCATGTACGAAGTTTTCAAGAAGGGGGAAGTCTGATAGAGGCTGCGTGATCATATAGTACAGAGCCAGAGAGTATGTCGTGGATCCCGGAACCTGAAGTCACAAATTTTATACACATCAAATGCACAGCTGCTCACTGATTTATAAACAAAAATGTAAGCAATCATCAAGTTTTTAGTCACTGGAGACATTAGGACACTAAAACCATCAGGTTCATATTGTAGCATCCTTTCAGTATTACAAGTAATCATGATGTAGCACAAAAACATGCGTCATGCAGAAAAGGAAATTAAATGGAAAAGCCCGAAACCCTACATCAAAATTATATCTCGCAACTCTAGAGGCTGGCTTTTAGAACTTACTTGAATGTTGATGATGAAGAAAAATGCATCGTCCACTCGGCCCTCTTTCTTTCTCTGTTTCGGTGACAGTTTTGAAAGTCACATGTTGCAAATACACTAATTTCAATCACTTCTCCCTAATTTGCTTGCCTGAGTCTTACTGAAACTTGGTCTATTCTAATAACTGCTGTATAAGCACTCAAGTATGTGACTTGTAAACAATTTGCTCTTAAATATAATTAGAAATTAATCGTAAACCTGGGTTCTTAAAAAATGTAAGCACATAGCATACCTGATTGGCTAAAAAAAGTTGAACTGGATAGGAGGGTCGGTTGGCAAGGTGATCCTCTCTCTTATTGGACTTCAACCAATCAGCTGCTACAAATTGCATGACTGGATCTTTGGCTACCACCTGTTCCATCAATAGCAAATTGTTTACAAGATGTTCGATTCTGGGCAACACAACTACTCAAACAGCACACTGACACGATTCATCGTAAGAACATACCCAATCAGACCAATAGATCTTCAAAATCAAGACCGAAGAACACAAGAAAGCAAGTTATGTTCAGAGTAGAAATTAAGGATACCTTTTTACGGTCTTGTAGATAGTGTTTTCCTCGAATTAAAAAGGTGCTTGCTTCCGCTGATTGATAACAGCTCGTGGTCCCAGAGCTAGATATTTTAGGCAGAGTTCCTTCTCTTGTCAGCAAGTCAATGTCATCTTGGTCGGTGTCCTGGTAAGTGCGCTTTTGAGCTGCAAACGGCATGTCTAATGCTATTAATCTATCAAAACCAAAACCACTCGGGCAGGAAACAATGAAAACAATAGTGCACCAGTCATGTGTTTCAGAATAAATGAAAATATCCTAAATGAAATACTCAGAATTCCTTTTGCGTTACAATTATGATACGCTTGTTTCTCGAACAGATCCTCGACTGCGGTGAAGGTTAAGAAAATATGCCTGTTATTCCGTGGAAGCGCTTCACAATGGTTGCAGCTGCGGAAATTTTTGGAATGCCTCCACTCTGTGATTTGAAATATGCAATTCAATTAAGTAATAAAGACAAATCATTCGATTTCGTATTCTGGAGCAATCCAACATTCGATGCGCTATCAGCATTACGTCCAAACGCATTCAACGTTGTAGCAATGTATCACTTTAAGCAGAATGAACGAACTGTAAAAACCAAATAATAACTAACTAGGATTTCTTATTCATCAGCTTTAAAGGCACCTTTGCCTCACCTTATCTTCATCGGAAGTTTCCTCCAAGTCCGTGTTCTGTTGCTGACCATCCAGATCTCGATCAAGTTCCAAATCCCAAGCTGAATCTTCAGGAACATCAAAAAACTCGTCCTCTGCTAGCTGCTGGAACATACTTTTCCCCACATTCTTCTCTTCAAGTAAGAAAGCAGCCGCATCATCATTTAGGTGGATTGGGAGAATGTTTTCCTTCTGTGCTACAGGAAGTTTACACCTTGCTGGTTGTCTCACGTTTGGGCCCATGGAGCTAGGCATGTAGTCTGATGGTTTGATCTTGTAAAACTCCTTCAAAGCTGGACAAAGATTTCCAAAAAACATCAGAAACTCACCAGATTTTAGTCTCGGATTGTTATCATACAGCCGATTCGAGATTGCTTCAAAAAACCAACGCGTTCAGTTTGAAATACTAAATATACCCTGTAGGTTACTACGTTGATGTACCCTCATGTGGAGAAAGTGAACCCTTCTGTTTAAACTCCCCACATTCAGACAACAGAAAGCTATTGGTGCAAGAAGAATTCCTAGGGACATAAGATTTGAGGACTCTACCTGCAACTCTTTCTAGAACTTTCAGTGTGATGTCCTTGTCTCTGCAAGGACTCCAGCAAGATTTCCAATTTTTCCAGTCCACAGTGAGTATATGTTTCACCATACACCGGTTTGGATAACCCCCCTGTGTAGGCAGCGGCGATATTACGTAGCCCCCACCTGCACTAGACAATTTCAAGGCTTTAAAAGAGACGTGTGCGAAAAAACTGGCTATTTCAAACGCGTATGGAGCTACTGAATAGAGGCCTCAAATTAGAAGTCCTTCAGAGATTCTGACATTCTTGATGACGCATTGAGGTGAGAAAGCTTACTTTTGAGCCAAGCTCGTACAAACTTTCTTCGTGGAGGACATTTCTCATGATTTACCGATGTGTAGAGGATAACTACAGCCAATGATGCAGTCAGCTGAATAAGAGGTCATTGGAATGCAAAATCTCCTGAAAAACTCTTGCTTTAGCTTATTGAGAATCAAAGCAAGTCGCAACAGATTTCGCAACCTCAGTTCCCACAAGAAAAGTCCAAAATCTAATTGATTTAGAATATAACGTGAATAGTTTGTGGTCACTAACCATAAGAGCCATCATCTTCGCGTCGCCAGTACCGATGCACAACCAGGTCCCTTGGTTTCATACGCCTGCAATTCAGTTCGATTTTATTAAGCTCAACCTGATCGTCGTAATACTGAAGATGTAGGATGGTAACACGATACAAAAGCATTTGAGACACTCTTAATTTGCACATTCCATATTAGAGGGAGAATTTCTAAAAACTAATATCTAGAACGAATTAGATTATGGATGCGCAATCTCGTACGAAGAAAGCCAAAATTTATGGAAATGCTTGTGGACAATGTCTGAATGGCCGTCAATATGCTCAATAACCCTCCCTTTCAAGTAGCAGAAATCCCACCTGAAAGACGCAAGATTATAAGATACCAAAAATAAAGTTTTGAAATCGCAAACAACTAAAGACGACTTATGATTGACAGGTCTATGTATATCAAAACTATAATTGAAATAAAAGGTAAAGAATTGAGTCTTACTCAGCCCGTGAGGAACCCAAAGCCATGACAGTTTCAAATACGGATTCACAAGTGGCGTGCACCACTCCAACGGACATCAGTGCAGGGGGGTCCTCTCCACGTATCTACAATGTGGGACACACATAGCATTCAATCGTCAAAATGACGGCGAAATCAAGTAGCAGAAAAAACTTTTCATGATAATCTAGTTTCGCGTTTCCTGAACACCATGTAGGATGGAAAGATCAGCTGGAACTCAAATAGACTAGAAGAATTCGACTGCACGCGCTGCACAGTTGCATCAGTGCCAACAGAAACATTAAGAGACACGTGCCTCACCATGCTCTTGAGTCCATGGTGATCAGTGGCTTCCTTGAATAATCGCAATCCTGAACACAAAATGGTATGATAAGTGTACGAAGCTCGTGTGAGATTGAGTAGTTGAGCATCGTCTTTCACAAACGTGGAAAATTACCATTTTCGCAACCAAATATCTGCCACGGCGAATCAGCTACGACATCTGGAGATGCATCCTTAGGCAGTAATGAAACTATCAACCCTGGTAAATCTGTTACAAACGACAAAAGTTGAAAGGCAAAGAATGACAAGGTGAAGAATGACACAACTCAAATTCGGGTAATCAACAAACGAACAAACTCTGCAAAGTACAATATCACCCAATGCAAAACTAAAACATGCTGTACCAAACATATGAGCGTCAAAACGGATTGCAGTAAGAGTTCTGGTACAACCTGCAAGAGTTGTTGAGTCCTCTCGAAAGAGATGGTTATTGACGGTACCCGAGCCTCCAGAAGGGTCTCTGACAACACTTCCTCTTCTAACAGAGAGTCTGTGACAACCATTTCACAAATTAAACAAATGTAGATGACATTTTGATCAGAAGCTTTGAGTAGTTACATCGAGATCACATTCTTGACATATAATTTTCGTTCTTGGGTGTACCTGAAAGGATATCTACGTCTCCCACCCGCAGTAACAAATGACCTATCCTTTCCCGGCAGATGGATCTGCGTTCAAAATTCAGGGGCAACAACTCAAATGATGAAAATACCTTCAAAATTGTGACACTTCAAAACATGCAAAAGCTTGCGAAAGTTTGTGGACCTATTTGGGCGAAATTAGTGCTACTCAAGGTAGATGCAGATTTGATCCAGAATCTTGAATGACTTCATGGATTCGGACGAGCAGGTTAATGAAATATTCTGCGAAAGAGACCTGCTCAGCAGCTTCTTTGAACGCTTCCATCCATTTTGCTGCCTCTTCCGAACTCCGTGCTCCAAACTTGAGCTTGTCTTCGTGGATGTATGAGTCGTACACTGTAAACACAAACAGAGTTCGACCGAGGATGTTTTCTCGCCCATGATCAGCTACTCTCTTGTAGGGATCAACGGTCCCACTTTTGATGGGTGCCTGCACCAATCCCCACAAAACCTCAAAAAATCAGGCACAACTTTCTATGCAAAATTGTTCCTTTTCCAAATCCACCCCAATGACGTGCGCATTCTCAAATGATGCTAAGATATCGAAGCACTACTTGCTCAGCTGTCAAACATACAATTTTATTATACGCTCATTCACTGTAACTCCTTCGATGCAATGACTGAAAACACTTCCGAACGAAGATGCACCTCATTACCGACTTCCACATGGTCAGACGAGATCAAAAAAATGGAGCTAATGAACCAGTCTTGTAAACACTCTCTGGACACATTGCAGTACACTACTAATAATTTCCATGTCTGAACCCCACAGGCAATCGAAAATTGTAGTGAAGAACAGCTACCTCTTCTCTGTGGGCAGGTTTGTCTTTGTAAAAACGCGCTTGGTTTCCACATAGCACTACGTAGCGTTTCCGAGGGTTTGTCATCATCAATCTGTTCGACCCTATCAAATAAAGCCATCCTTCCATGCTTTCCATGAAATTTAACGCTCTACTGTGGTCAGCAGCGTAAGCGCCTCAAAAACACAGACGCTTCGAGTTCGTCTATAGGATGCCCTCCTTCTGTAGCGGATAATTTACGGTACATATGCTCAAGGATCTAAGCACGCTTTGGGATGACGTGCGATGCCTTGCGACGATTTTTCTCCTTGGTTGCATACAAATGTTGCTGTAACGAAGCTAGATGCTTATAAAAAATCGGTAAGCCCAGGCCAAATTCGATCCCTGAGCATAAGACGCACTTTCGGCTTCCACCGACCACTGAAATTGAAGACACCAAAAGAATGTATGGGATCCTTTAGATGGATGACACATTCAAGAAGATAGAACAATTGCAGTTGATTGCTCAACAATCGAACATTTTGATAAATCCAACCCAATGGAGGAAGAACAACCACCTTCAAGCGTCTCACCGACTGCGCAAGTATCTGGTCATGTCCGCACCAGAAACCATAAAACCGAGACCTCCGTCTAAAGCGGCCAAGAGCTAAAATTCTGAGCTTCTGCACTCACCAATTTAAGCTGCTCTTCAGTTACTACCCTCAATTTCAGTACTTCAAAGGCTCTACCGACGTAAATATCCGCACGTTCTTATGCTCCTCCAGCAGGTTTTTTTGACTGTAGAGACGTCCGCTAGACAAGACCCCACACTCTGCAAACATTCAGGAATTCTTCCCAATATGTACTCGTGTGTTAACCAACTCACAGTGCCTCAAATCAAAGCAACGAATTCAGAAAAAAACGCTTCGGTAGGCCACGCTCCTTCCTTGTATCAGCCGCAGCTACAGAACACCCTCGGTTGACGGTCAAATCTCACTTTTCAGACACGTAAACTCTCTGCCCTGCGGAGTGTAACGAGTAGCTTTCTCGTGCGAATTCCAGAAGACATTCATGCGCTTGTGCTTTACGAGGAAGCCCACTCCATGGGTCCCAGCTGTCGGGTGACTCCGACGAAGGAGAGATCCTGAAACTGTAAACTACAGTGCCAAAGTACTGAAAACTCACATCATGAAGAGGGGTCTGTGTTTCAGAAATCACAGCATTTTCTACCTCCCTACACCTCCACATTCGGGATGTGTCCGACCAACACAATGTGGACATTATTCTCCTCGCTACCTTCCAGGCATGAATCTTCGTCCTGTGTCACGAAAGGGACAGACTCCCATCAATGCGCCTCGAACGACACATATACGCAGCTCGCAAACCTCAACCTTCCGCTCGAAGACAGAGCTCCATCAATGTGGCCATCAAAGCACACCAATTCGCCTCGTCTTTGTTCCCCACACACACGAACATCAAGTCTCGTTTTCATGACTCTTGAAAAACTCTTCTTGCATAACCGATGTGGCCTTTGCAAGTCCTGTCTTCATCTCCCATTCATGAAGATCCTAGAATCGATGTCACGAACTACTTGGGGTACGGCGTGGTGTATACCCAAATGATTTTCCAATACCGAGAAACGTGTAGGTATGGATTCGGCATAGTATTCATCATTGGCCTTGTCCCTCCAGTTCGAGCTTCGATGACCACTTTGCTTGTCTGATATCTTTCTTTCTTTCTTTCTTTCTTTCTTCTCATGATGGTCTGCAAGTGTGGTGACAACTGGGGCAAGAGAGATGCCAAGAGTACACTTCATGACAGATCTTGTCTAGTTTAACATTAGACACTAATCTAATGAGAGGAAGTGGGGTGTGGGGGGAGGGACAGAGGAGTGTGTGGACAGCCATGCCGCACCCACTGCCTCTCATGGACTTGTCAGGGCACTGGTCCTTTTCCTTCATTGCTCTTTTTCCGTATTTGTCTCGGTCTCGGCCTTTCTGTCTGTCTGTCTGTCTGTCTTTGTGTTCCTCTACCTCGTTGTCCGTCTTTCCTTGTCCCTCCTTCTACGCACATACATACCTTCATACACGCGTACAGACTTGCTGATCCACAAGCTAACATCGATGAAGGCACCACCCAGTTCCAAACCTTTGAGAGATGGGGCCCCTTTGTTGTCAAACTTGACAGCCGTGTGCCTCGTTCCTTCCTCTTTCTGGCCCCTTTCTGCCGGTCTGGATGTGCGTATTTGTGTGTGTGTGTGTGAGAGAGAGATTGTGTCTTTTGCTCTGTCTGTGCCCTTGTCTTTCCTTTTCTCTTGCAGGAAAGCTCGTTGCCTTTCCTCGATGAAAGCGAATCTAGCTTCACTGGTTTGTTAGAAGAAAGATCTATAGATAGATAGAAACAAGATTTGAAGAAGAAAGAACGAAAGTATGTGTAGATTGTTTGGTTGCTTGGATTGTTGCTGTTTTTTTTTTCTTTTTTTTTTTTTTTTCTTTGCGTGGGCATGTGTGCACAATGGGTGTTGTGTGCATTAGTGGGGTCTACAAAAAATAAAACTAAATAAATTAGAACGGATTTGTTCCTAGGCTTGAAAACTTCGATTTTATTCCTACGAATGAGGAACGGTCAATCTAACCAGGCCACTTTGGGAGACATTTTTTTGGAAAGCCTTCGCAGAAAGGTCCTTTAAAATCTGAAGGGGTTGACTTGATTTGACTTGTTTTGAAATCCTCTTTGATGTAACTCTCTTTCATTTCGCTTTTTGCTCTTTCCTTCTTTATCTTTCTTTGTACTTCTTCTTCTCCTTCTTCTTCTATCTTTTTGGTCGTTCATTATAATTATTAAGTCATATGTTTCCTTTATAATTTCATTTACCGTACAGTAACCTACTTCTTCACTGGCTTCACAACTAAAGCATTAATTGTGGATGTACTTACATTCTTCTTATAAATGCTCATAGATATGTCAGTAATAATAATTTTAATAACTACTATTTTAATTGAAGAGAATATGTCCATCTTTATATTGGCCCTTGTCTGTTGTAGTTGTTGTTGCGGGTTGCAACGAATGCTGAGAACCAGACCACACTCAACCCTGAATTGTATGATTCATTAGCAATAATAATATCATCATCATAGATATAAATATACAGTAATTTCAAGGATTGGATTTTTTTTGAGTGCACCAGGAGTTGTATTGTCTAGAATGATTCATGGGTCATTTCTTCACTTAATCACCTTTCGGTCATTCACAGAATGTTGCCCTTGACAACAACAATTCACTTCAGTTTCAAAATGTTGCACATTTAAGTACAATAAACCTCTGCTGAAAGCATTTTTAAATTATTAAAAGCATACTTCCATTTGGTAACTAAAAAGTACCAGGGTAAAAATCTATTAAAATATACAGTAAAAATTAAGTTCTTTACCAAAAATAATACAACATTTCTGTAATGTGATGCACACCGTAAGACTACAATAAGTAAATAATAAATCAAGGTGATAAATCAGGAATCAAAGTTACAGTAATTGCTTTAGATCATTGAATATTTTTGAACTTCAGATTGTGTAAATTCCCAGTTGCTGCAAACTAAATATTGACAACTGTTGGAATAATCCAAACATACTTTGAAAGTAGCAGCAACTTCAATGCAGCCAAGCTTTGAGAGAGTGTTATTACAAGTATGTGAGATCATTCAAAAGGATTCTCTTTCAAACTAACAGGGGCCAGTTAAACCCACGCCAATGGTACACAATTTGCCGTTTATTCGACAACGTAGAACCGCAAATACACCTTAAAGATACGATATTATTCAGTAGTTGAATGCATAGAAGATGCTGTATTGACAGCATTGCATTCCATCAGGCAAGGTGAACTCAATTTGGATAAGTTGACGGTGGATATTATGGACCACAGCACATGATCACCTGACAAAGCCGTATGTTGGTACTTGGACGCAACCTCGTGTCAAATTCAAAATGCCTCAAAAAATGGCTTTCAATTCATCAGCGGATTCAAACCGTTACATTGAAACTCAGATTGAATGACGATTCAGCTGAACTTGGTTGAATGATTGAGATAATAAGGCACAGCACTCCATCAGCGTGCTCACCAGTCTATTATTCAACTTTTTTTCGCACAAAAGAGTTGGATAACTTCTCAAACAATGCTTCGAACTTCTGTACTAGGTGAACCTAACCATCAATTCTTATGAGGACTAATGATAAAACGAGGGAACAGGTCAATGGAGTGAAATCTGAGGAATAAGATGTTTCACTGCTTTCGCGAGTTCAGATATTCAGAAGTAAGAGACAACAATTCCTCCTTGCGTCTCTTGTACTCATCAAATCGCAGGAAAAAATATCCAAGGTAATCAAATTTGATGGGAGAATACCTTGCCTGCACACAGTCGATATATTGCACATAAACAAAGACCTGGGAGCTTCTACACCAAGCTCTTATAAGATTGCGAAAAAGATGAGATCAATGCGAGAATCACTCGTGAAGGTAGCAAAAATGGGGTTACATTACAGAAAGTTACAACCAAACAGAGCTCATGTAGTGTCAAATAGTTACCTGAACGATTGCCCACGTGGCCCAATACATGTGAGACACTAAGGAATAAAAGTTGCATTCTGCATAAAACTCTTCAAGCTCTGCAATTGTACTCTGCAGTGCCCATTTGAGGTACTAAGCATCAGTCTAGCAATGTAAGCTTCTACAACATTGTAGTATCGAATAATTAGCCTCCGATGCAAGATCGCATCCTCAAAATCGAATGAGGTTCACTGTTAGATTTCCGACTTTAAAATTTCTTTTTAGATGAAATTGTGTTTAGGAATTCTGATTATTCCTGGTCACGAAGTCAGATCGACAACGAAGCGGGTTTCTAAAAAAAATGAAGTGTGTCAGCGAACCTAGTCGCTGGAAGTTGTAAATTTCAGCAAAGAAACCACTTTGACACAAAAAAAACACTTTCCACCAAATTTGCACAATGGATCCGAAGAGGCTCACCATCTCAGGATTCTCTGGATGCAAGTAATATCTGAAGAAGTAAAATTGCTTCTCCTTGTCGGGATACCTACAAAAACGAACCACCTCGGCCTCTGTAAATGCATTTCTATTGCAATCATCGCCAGCAGGGAAACATAGATGTAAGCAGCTCATGTGAAATCTCACCCATTTATCATGTGTTTATCATTCAATGACGGGATGGAAAGTTTCAATTGGCACATTGGGCCACAATAAATTGAACCTAGGAAAGTAAATCAAGCTAGAAAACGTACAAGCTATAATCGCAGTCGAAGCCTGCATGCTCGTTGAAATAATTAGCAATGTCATAGCCTCGATAGCTGTGTGATCCATATTCATAATCAATGATGTAAAGTTTCCCTGGAACCATAGTGGTGTTAATTTCTGTAATGGTATGCATGGTAATATATTGTGTCCCAAAACGATCTAGAAAACTCCTAAACTTTCACAATAACGAGCCAGCGCCACAGCGATAAAAACACAACAAGATCAAATCGAAATGAGTCCTATTACCAAAAGATGTTAAAGAGACCAGAAAAACTACAATAATTATAACTCTTCCAGCAATATAAATAAATAAATAAATAAATAAATAAATAAATAAATAAAATTAGGAGAAAGAAAAAAGAAAAAATAAAAAAAATTCCCGCTAGTTAGAGAAAATTCGCACCTTCATCTTCATTGTACATGAAATTTCCAGAAAGAAGATCGTTGTGTGCAAAAACAACAGGTGCATCGAAATTGTTACTGATCGCCTGCATGATCCATTCAATGAGAATGCTATGAGGAGCATACCAATGAGACAGGCCTCAATCTAAAAAAAATGATCCTGCCATTCAAATCCTATGAGTAGAGCAAAAGTATATGAAAGAAGTGAAGAAAAACAAAAAAAACAAAAAAAGCACATCGCATACAAATTTTCATGAATCTCCTGAGCCAGCACTAGTCCTAACGGTAAACGAGATACAGAACAACAGCACAAGCGGATTACCCTTAGCTCTTCAATTTCCGCTTTGATGTTCTCAAATGAGATCGTCTCATAAGTCTTCTGCTTTTCGCTGTCTTCAAATATAACTCCCGACGCTTCATACAAGAATGGCGAAGATAAATCAAGTGCTACGATACATGATTATACATTTATCACTTTCTTCAACAAAATAAATAGTCCACCACCACACCCACCCAACAAGAGTTCTTGTGTACTCTACCGATCGTTTAGGGACGAGGTTGCTTGCAAAGGAATTGAAAGCACATCGCCAACAACGCAACAATGCGTGGCTAGGATCAACCGAAAATAAATATAAAAGAAAAAAAGACATGTAGGGCTATCAGCACAACGTTGACACGTGTAGACTGCCATGAACGACCGATACCTTTATCGATAAACTTGTAGATGTCATTCCACAATTGTGGTTCTTTAGATCCAGGTATCTCTAACTCATGTAGCCTTCGAACTTCCATAGCTATCAGCTTTGCCAACTCCGGCTTACCCATGTCTGCCAGCCAATCCAGACCAAACCCCAAAATAGGTAAACAAATGTCTGTTCGGAACAAAGCTTGCATACGTTTCCGAGCAAAACATATGCTCATCATGATTCATGTAGCAGAGCATACTGTTGTATGTAGCTAATATAGTTAAGACGAATACCCAGAGGTTCAAGTGTTCTTCCGAAAATAAAGGACTGAATCATGCCATTTCCAAACACACCAAGCAACTTGGCTCCAAACCCAGCTGAAGATAAGTAAGTGAGCGCCTACATGAACAGATTGAGCAACACAATGTTAGAGCTCCAAAAATGACAATTCAACACGAAGATTCTAAGAATTGAAAACAAGGCAAGCAGAAAACCAATACCAAAGTTCACAAGATACCTGAAGCTCCCGGTCACGGTCAATAACAGCATCTGTATTGGGTCCAAATACACGCACAGTCACTGGTGGCAGTTTGTCCTCGTTTTCACCCTCCACTTCTGCCTTGAGCACTGCTTACACAACCACCACAACCATGATACTCCAATCTAACTCCCAAACATGACGCATAATGCATCAACAACAATAAAATAAAATAAAATAAAAACCGTAACTAAAGCAGATTATGACAATTTGCATGCCTTCACACAGTTGAGTTTCTTACTTGAGAGAAGGTAATCACGGCAACAAAGAAATAAATTCCTGGTTCTATGGAGTTGATTCAAGGACGATACTGAGACGTATCATTCTCAACATAATCATTTTTTTCATGGAATCAAAATTGGAATTGAAAGAAGCCAGGGGATGGTAGACAGATTTATAAAAGACATAGAGTGCAATCATGCGAAACGATGGTGGACAGGAAGAAACGTACACATATTCGTGATTCCGCCGGAGATTTTCATCACAGAAATATTGGAGTCGTCCACATCTGCCCACTTCCTTAACAGCACCTTGCAAACACCGCTATAGATTGTTCAAGTCACCAATTCAGAATCAGTTCTAGTGTTATCATCTAACTCGCAAAATATTTCTTAAACATTTTTTTTTCTTAAATTCGATCGCAGAATCCATTCCACACTTGAGCACTTCCAGAGTCCATCACTACAACCCCAGAGTTGCACAAACTCAGGAGGAGATTTGATGGCGCATTGTCAGTCGAAGCGGAGGAGCAAAAAGGATTTTCCTGACCTGACACGAGAAAACAGGGCTTGATCCGGGAGGCGCGGATCTATAATTAAGCCGCATGTGCACACGGCCATGGAGCTTTCCGATCTCTTGAGGAAGATTTTGTCAGTTCGCAGCGTTTCAATCTCTTCGTCCCCTGGCTTCCTATCCTCTCGCCTCGACTTATACCTCTCCCTCGGCGCAACGTCCTGCTTGGAAGCCTTGTCCTTATCTACGTGGGTACTGGGCAGTACTCCCCCTTGCTTTTCAATCATGCCCATCTTCCGTGAATCACACACACCCACCAGAGCCTTACACCTCACGACGCTAAAACGATGATCGAGCCTCGACCATAATCAAGTTGCCCGCTCCCCTTCGACAGAACTAAACCCACACAAACACACAATGAGCTTGAAATCCTCAAGATACCTCTATGTCTCAAACACAGCCACTCCAGCAAACCACCCTGCGCCTTCCAATTCACGACACCTCCTCGCGGGAAAATGTACACTCACCACCCAACAGCCTTCATGTACACACTACACACCTGCGCCAAACACGGACAAGCATCATAGAGACCCACAACTCTCTTCGACCGAAATCATATTTTACCAACCTCTCAAGCCCCAGAAAAGTTGCAAAACTGTAGACCGGCAGCTGCCGGGTTCCCTGCGTCGGTCTTAGCCTTTCGACCCTGGCAGGGCAAATCCACTCGTGACCTTCCTAGGCACACATTCATCAGCAACAGCCCTTCATAATGGAGAGATTCCGTAGATGAGCTCTGGGCGTTAGGAATCTGGATATTCTATTCTTACTCCGACCCATGACAAAGAGCAGCGACGCCATTAGAAGGGATCATTGCGAGCACATTTGCACTCTCGAGCATGGGAAGGGAGACGCATTACCCTCAAATTGAGGAAATCGACCCGATCTCAGTCTCGAGCATTTCATGACGGCTCCTCACTGCGGATTCGGAGCCGACGACACCTCGCTCACAGCTAATTTGGCAAGACCCGGACCCAGGTGGTGTTCGTTCCGAATCCGGACCTGGGTGGATATTTCCCTGCGAGGAGGGGGTGTCGTGCCTCCGAATCCGCTGGCATGATTCGCGAAGGGCCCACAAACAAATTCCATTGGGGGAGTGGATAGATGCGAACCACATGATCGATGCGGCACAAGAAGGAAGTCCCACGCCGCACAAGCTCCTTTTCCACGCTACCTCGGAAATGGCTCCCACTAATGAGTATCGGTTAGAATTCGTTTTATTGTGTTTATTATTAAGGTGTTGGTATTTTATTGTTGTATTTTTTTTTGATGTTTTCAGATGTTGATGTATTGGAGGATATTTTTAAATGCTACACTTTAATTTTTATTCTCATAATATTTACATGTTTGTTTTTTTTACTAGTAAAAAACCAATGGAATTGATGTTGAATGAAATTGTCATACAACAATGCCATTATTGTATGACAATTGTATCTACTATCACAAATACAAAAGAAACACAGTTTTGTTAGGTTTTGTGCATGTTGAGAATGTTTGGAGAAATATAAGAATAGTTGGAAGTAATGTGCACACATATATATAAAAAAGTGTATAGAAAGAGAAAGAACTTCTTCTTATCTGTATATTGATGTAGTTTTTTTCTATATACAAAGAGAAGGGAAGAAGATAAACAATTTCTTCCCACTACATTTCAAACACTAAAGCTACATAATTTATAATAAACTATAATAACTATTATGAAGAGCACCAAGTACATTTAATACTCTCAACATTCTTCGTCACTTGTCATAATATTTATCTAACATAAAATTTGCATAGGATTTGATCTATATTTTTTTGTAATATTGTAAGAGTAATAGTTGATTCCTTATTAAAACCTTATCTAAAAAAATCTTATTGTATTCAAGGGCAAAACCATAGATGAAAGAAAAAAAAGTACATCATTTTTTTTATAATTATTTAAAGTATTTATTAACTTTTTTGCTTAAGAAAAGCAAATCATCATATGCCAATGCCAGAAGTAAGTCAGTGATAGTTGCACAAAGAGAGAGCTTTGGTAAGGAGATGAGCAAGGTTATTTGTAGATTCAATTTTTTTGATCTTAAGTACTTGATTATTAACTAAGTCATAGATAAAACTAAAATACTTTGGATCAATATGTTTTTTCTTATTTTTTTTTAATAAAACCAATGTGCATCTGTTCAATACAAGTGCTATTGTCTTCATACAAGATAGTTAGAAAATTATCATATGAAAGTTCATAGGATGTCTGAATGAGTTTATCAATATCGCAACTAAATATATTCTTGAGATACTTCATGTAAGGCAATAATTTTTGCATAGTTGGATGAAGTTGCAATTATAATTTGTTTTATTGATTTTCATGATATTGAAACTCCTTATCTTAAGAATATCTTTAATTAATCTGAAATAAATTCAAAAGTAGTTATAAAAGAAACACAAAGAAATCTTAAAGTAATCTAAAAAAAAATAAAAATAAAAATAAATAACTTAAAAAAATTAACAATAATCTTAAAAAAATATTAAAAATAAAAACTTAAAAAATAAAGAATCTTAATAAGATATTAAAAATAAAAATCTTAAATAAATCCAAATAAAATTTTAATTTAATCCTAATTAAAATCTTAATAAATTTTAACTAAAACTTAGGTTAAATCCTAATTGAAATCCTAACTGAACCTTAATTAAGTCTTAAATTAAATCTTAATTAAATCCTAATTAAACCTCAATCAATTCCTAGGTCAAATCTTAATGAAATCTTAATAAAATTTTAAATCCTAGACAAATCCTAAATCAAACTCTAGTCAAGGACATGAATCTTAAAAAAAAAAAAAAAAGAAAAAAAAAAACCTCAATAAATTCTTATGTCATTCAAAAATACTAAAAAATTATTCAAAGATAATATAGTATTAAACTAAAATGGCTATTCATTGTCTTATATGGCTCAAAAAGAGACACATAGAATATGGAATGGATCTTTATAGACTTTGATAGATGTAATTGATAAGCAACAAGATTGATTTATTTATAAATAGGAAAAGGCCTAATCCTATAATAGTTCAAATTGTTATAAGGATGAGTAGTCTTAATATTTCGATAAAGTAGCCATATTTTGTCACTTATGATGAATTGTAGTTGTTCCTTATAATAGACATCCACATTGATCTTATGTCATTCTTGAACTTCTTTTAATTGCTCTTTCATTGTTGCATGCAGTTTTGACAAACAATTTATCAAATCTTTTACTACAAGATTATCAACTTTTGAAAAGTCAAAAGTATCAAGTTATAGATGATAATCATAATTAGCAAAAAAAAGTGTTTATTGAATAGAAGAATTTATCAAATTATTATATGCAAACTCTCTTAATAGTAGAAGAATTATCTAATTATCTTCATGATAATTGATGGTACACATGAAATATTATTCTAGTACTTAATTCACCTATTTTATTTGTCCATCAATTTGAGGATGAAAAGCCAAAGAAAGATTAATATTCATCTTTAAAATCTTGAATAGGACTCTCCAAAATCTTCATACAAATTAAATCTTCCTATCCAATATAATATCTTTGGGCAATCTATGATAGTGATAGATATTTTCAATAAAAATCTTAGCCATTTCTTCACCTTTAATAGATTTTGTATATTATAAAAAATATTCTATTTTAATAAAATGATCTACTATCACAAATATAGAATCATATAAATCTGAGATTGAAAAATCTATAATAAAATCAATAGAAATAAAAGACTATAGTTAATTTGGAATAAATAATAGCTAAAAAAATCCATAAGATTGATGATGAGTTTTTGAACTTGAATAAATATCACCTGATTGTACAAAGTCTTTAACTACATTTCATATTTAAGTCTATCAAAAATCTCTTGATATTAGCTCCAAAGTCTTATTATATTTAAAATGTCTGGCTATTGAAAAGTCATGACGAGTTTGAAAAATATGTAATCATGCTTTGTCTTTTAGAATATATAATTGTCTCTCAAAATAGAGTAGATTATTTTTGAATTCAAACTTAGAAGTATCATGAAACTTAGAAGATTTTTTTTTGATATCATGAAGAAGAAGATAAGAGGACATACTTCATTGAATTTGCTTGACAAAGGTTGAATCAAAAATCAATTTTGATTTTATTGCTCAAAGATGAAAATACTCTAGTTTAAAGAAAATCATTTTTTATTGATCAAAAGCTGAATGTCATTCTTTTGGTATAAGATAAAAACATCTAGAAAAGGCGTTTATCAAACCTTGTTTTTTTTTAGGTCAATAAGTAGATTTGAAATCAAATTTTCATAAAGACATAATCCAACAAGCTTTGCAACAATTCAAAGTACATGCTCACATAAAGTATTTGAGGTTCTTGTGATTTATATACACAATAACTGGACTAGAAGTGCCCTCTAGATAATGATGTCATTCTTAAAATGAATCCAAAATTGCAAGAAATTTTTTATCAAGGATCTTATAATTAATCTTGATTTCTAAAAATTTCTTAGAATGAAAAGCTATCAAATGGAACTTATTAATTGCACCCATTTGTGACAAAACAACACCTATAGAAAATATTGATGCATTTGTTTCTATAAAGAATGCCTTTGAAAAGTCAATGCAATACAAAATTGGTGAACAAATAAATATTATCTTCAAGGCTTCAAAAGATGCTATAACTTTTTTATTCCAATCAAGTTTATCTTTATACGTTAGACATGTAAGAAAGGCCACAACTTGAAAAAAGTTCTTGATGAAGATTCCATAATAATTAAAAAATTCTAAAAAATATTACACATCTTTAATTATTTTTGGCTTCTTTCAATCTATGATAATTTGGACCTTCTTAGGATCCATCATAAGACCATTGTTTGAAATAATGTATTCTAAAAAGTCAACTTGAGTAGTATAAAATACACACTTTTCCATCTTGGCATATAATCTTGCATCTCTTAGTTTTTATAATACACAAAAAATATAAAATTTATGCTCTTTTATATTCTTAGAGTAGATCAAGATGTCATCTAATTAAAAAATAATAGAATTATCAAGAAACTTATAAAAAACATCATTTATTAGATGTTGAAAAGTAATTGGTGTATTTCTAAGTCTAAAAGGCATGACATTATATTTAAAATGCTCATACCTGATTAAAACCCAATTTTTCATTTGTCTCCTTCTTTAATGTATATCAAATTGTATGCTCTTCATAGATCTATTTTTATATAGATCTTTACTTGATTGAGTTGATTAAGAAGTCCTAAAATCAAGTATAGAAGGTATCTATTCTTGATGGTGGTCTTATTGAGTCCTTGATAGTCTACACACATTTGCAAAGATTCATCTTTTTTCTTCACAAATAAGATAGAAGCCTTGGTTGAAGATTTAAAATAATATATAAATTTTTTAGCCAATATTTCATTAATATATTTTTTAAGTGTAGAAAACTCATTTTGTAATAGGCTATAGATTGGTCCAAATGGTAATTGAGCTCATTCTTAAAGATCAATGAAACAATCATAAGGATGATGCTTTAGAAGAATATGTAAATTCTTCTTTTCAAAAACATCTTGATAATCTTATATTAGCTTAGAATGCTACTTGAAATCTTTTTTCTATCATTAATAGGTGTAGCATATATAACAAAAGTTGATTATTTTACAGCATGCATGAAAATTTTGGTACCTATCAATTATGATTTGAATATACTAGTTTTATGGATTTTTACATATTTAGAAGAATCTTAAATTAAACTATAGAAAAAAATTAAGGTTACAAGAAATCTAGTCTATTTAAAGATTATATCTTTCTAACTATAATAATCTTAAAATAATTAAATTAGAAAGAAATTTAATTATATTAAATATTATTAAAATATTATGA